AGGTAGTCTTAATTACGGAAAACTTAAAAGCTCGGGAAAACAAATTTTTATGGTAATCGTCTGCATAACAGAGGTTGCTTTTTTAAGCCAAATCTGAACCAATGCGACGCGTGTCTCGAAATTGAATTCCTCTGCACAATTGTGAGTTTTTCTGAGCACAGCTGAAGTTATTAATTCGCGACAGGTTTCAAATAGTTTTGCCATACTGCTTCTTACGAGGCAGATCTGCCTTTCCAAATCCCATTGATAAGTTGTAGATGTTTTAAAATGAAATTTTGTGTATTAGGTTGAGTCGTAAACACTTTACGCTTTTGTTTATCAATTCTCCAACAAATAAAATATGGAAAGTGCTCAGACGAACTACATTTCTTGGTTCCGCTACGTCTAAGCTTCACGGCAAGGACCCAACATGTCATTTATATTTTAGCAAACCATACACATTCCATCTGTATTCCATCGGTGAGAAGTAAGTTCCACTCGGACAGCATCTTCCCGCTAAACACAGCGCTATGGAACAGTCTCCGAAGAGAACGTTTCCCTATCATGGCAATCTTAACCAAGTCTAGATTTAAACGTTGTCTTCCATTCCTATCCATATAAACTACCCCTTAACGTAATCCTCTACCTCGAGTGGCCTCGGGCCTTGTACAGCGTAAATCCGACTGTAAAAATATATATTCACCATTATTTGCAATGACTTGTTGCGACTTATAAAAGCGGGTCTTTTATACACTATTTACATTATTCGGACTATTGTCCTCATCTTTGTCGCCATATTTATTACAACGCTTCAGCCGTTGTATGCTCTGGCCTTCTTCAGATGAGTGGAATGTCGAACTGAACCCTTTATTTCGCTCACTGGGGTAGACTGTTCTAGTTCCACGTGCCATGTTTAATGGATGTCAGTTATCAGTTATCTCCTGTTAATTCCCCTCACCAAGTTCTGTATTGCCTTAACCGGGTATTGAATTCACACTCTTTGTGTCTTGTCACTGGATCTAACCAACGCCTTTATCCACTGTACCATGTGTCCTTGAGAACATCCATTAAACATGGCACGTGGAACTAGAACAGTCTAACCCAGTGAGCAAAATAACGGGTTGAGTTCGACATTCCAACCACCTGAAGAAGGCCGGAGCGTACAACGGCCGAAACGTTGTAATAAATATGGCGACAAAGATGCGGACAATAGTCCGAATAATGTAAATAGTTAACAAAATAACTCATCTCAGAAATATAGACAGATACTGAAGGGCCGAAACGTTGTAATAAATATGGCGACAAAGATGAGGACAATAGTCCGAATAATGTAAATAGTGTACATCTCAGAAATATAGACAGATACTGAAGGGCCGAAACGTTGTAATAAATATGGCGACAAAGATGAGGATAATAGTCCGAATAATGTAAATAGTGTATATAATACCTCATCCCAGAAATATAGACAGATACTGAATGGCCGAAACGTTGTAATAAATATGGCGACAAAGATGAGGATAATAGTCCGAATAATGTAAATAGTGTATATAATACCTCATCCCAGAAATATAGACAGATACTGAAGGGCCGAAACGTTGTAATAAATATGGCGACAAAGATGAGGATAATAGTCCGAATAATGTAAATAGTGTACATAATACCTCATCTCAGAAATATAGAGAGGTTTTTATGCATTCTCAGTAAAATTTAAACGATTTTCATGTGACAATTTTTTCGATTAACTCTGAATCTGGTATTCATTAAAGGAAGTTTTCCACCATCAAAACATTTTTCGATGATCGAAATAAGTAATAATCAATTGGTGGAAGCTCAGTGGAATATGGGGGGGGGTCGAGTAAAATGAATTTCTGTTATTTTTTCTGTATCTGGTCTTAAGTAGTCATGGAAAACATATTTTGTTATTTTAAGGAGCGCAGGACGATTTTTGGACACGTTGCAATTTGATGGACGTATAAATGTGCAGTTAATGTTTCTCTACTCTAAATGAATAACACCCTGACGATACCACCACCCGCCCAACGTAATCTTTCATCAATGAAGTTTAGATTTGGGGGGGGGGTGTTGTAGAAATTTATTTATCTTTGTCGAATCACATAATGTAAGATAACGTGTGCATTTCATTTTTTTCCTGTATACTTCCCGGTTCCAAGGCTTCGTCCTTGTGCTGGTGGTATCACGGCTACGACTAGCTTGGACCAGCTCTGACCAGCTTGGACAAGTTATGACCATCTATGAGTAGCTTAGACCATCTCTGACCAGCTTGGACAAGCTATGACCAGCTAAGACTAACTATGACTAGTTCAGACCAGCTTGGACAAGCTATAACCAGCTAAGACCAGCTTAGACCAGCGTCCAGAGTGAAAAGACTCGGGTCCCCACGTTAAAAACTGACCTTGTGTCACAGCCTGACTCAGTGGGTGGGTCAAGTAAATATCCATTTTTCTTGTATGTTTTTGCTTTGTTCATTTTTTCCAAATTTCCCACTTGTGCCATTTTTACCCGAGTCATTTTTATCTGTGCCATTTTTACTGTACCATTGTTACCTGTGCCATTTCTACCTGTGCTATTATTACCTAAATTCATAATTCAGAACTTTACTGCTAGTACATATTAGGCTAGCTCCTCTTATTTCCCCATTATTGCAACTTTAAGGGCAATGTTCCATTCAGACATCTTTTCCCCTAAAATTGCTATTTTGCGACACAGACTCCTGTGGGGATGCTTTCCACAATATTACTATCTTCACTTCTTGTAGTAATCCCTTATCTGCCCTCATTATCCTCATACTCTTAATTTTCTACCACCTCCTTTGCCACTTATATCTGACCTCATTTTTAACAATTTTAATAGTAGCACTTTATCTTGAGAGAAACTCTGGCTGAACTTTATTATAAAAACCATCATGGCTGGAATTCTTGTATTAGTGACAGTTGGGTTTTCAGGACAAGTTGCCAATTTCAATTAGGGAACATTAAGTAGTTAAAATTGGCGCTAAATATGTTAGCATAAGATTAATAAATATAAATGAATCTTGTGTTATCATGAATCAGGTTATAAATAACTATTAGCCTTGTGCCACACCAAACAATCTTTGGAAAGATCAGTTGACGAATTTTGTATATTTGCGAAACCTATGAAATACTAGTAGTAAAGAAGAGTCCATCCCAAATTACCAGTTAGACGGTGTTAAAATTGGAAACTACCATTTAAATGCGAATATCTACTGACGTGATTTAAATCGGAAATTTCTCTGCGAATTCTTCGGATGTTAACCTATCATTATTGGTCTTTGATTAAACAAAAAAAAAAGAAAAGAAAAGAAAGAAAGCGATCCGATTAATACTGCTTTCTCCCATGAGGTCGATCACTTTAAAACGAAAAAGTCTGTGACACCGCTAATCACATTGACTCCCTTGAGGAAATATAATTGTATTTAAACGCTTTTTCATAGTTCATTGTTCGATAAACACAAGACAAAGCGAAGAGAGAAAAAATGCTGGAATAATCTGAGCTCTTAGAATGTTAAGAGATTTCTACGTTCAATTAAATTTCTGGTAAATCGCTTATTACCTCGAGATTCTTCCAAAGCCTGCAAATGGCGGTGGACGAATGTTGATTTTTGTTCAACAACTTTGATCTGATAAATCATGCTGTTGAATGAGTGTTGGAAAGTTTTACACGCAGGCAAATTCGATAACGTTGGAAGATTGAAACTCAGCGGGTGACAATACTGCTGACCTTGAATTTAACTAATTCTATATAAATCTGATTGTTAATAAACCAATTCCCCGAGGCTATTCCCGAACTCAAGGATTTATTAAATAACTTCATCTATATACAGAGGTGCACAGTAATAATGTCACAGGTAAAATTGTCACAGGTAAAATGGTAAGGTAAAAATAGCACAGGTAAAATGGCCCGGGTAAAAATGGCACAAGTGGTAAAAGAAGAAAAATGAGTCATCCAGGTTATTGCTATAAATCTGGTTAGGTTGACCTGTTGCTTTTCTCTTCATGTTGCTGAAGGGTTACGTGGATGCAATAGCTGCATAATCAGGAGCATGGTTCTGTCTTTTAGCTGGTACCAGATCAGTCATATCAAGGCTGGTGGTCATGGTACAGGATCAGTCATATCATGACTGGTGTTCATGCTACAGGATCAGTCATATCAAGGCTGGTGGTCATGGACCAGGATCAGTCATATCAAGACTGGTGGTCATGGTACAGGATCAGTCATATCATGACTGGTGTTCATGCTACAGGATCAGTCATATCAAGGCTGGTGGTCATGGTACAGGATCAGTCATATCAAGGCTGGTGGTCATGATACAGGATCAGTCATATCATGGCTGGTGGTCATGGTACAGGATCATATCAAGGCTGGTGGTCATGGATGGTGGTCATATCAAGGCTGGTGGTCATGATACAGGATCAGTCATATCAAGGCTGGTGGTCATGGTACAGGATCAGTCATATCATGGATGGTGGTCATGGTACAGGATCAGTCATATCAAGACTGGTGGTCATGGTACGGGGTCACAGGGTCATATCAAGACTGGTGGTCATGGTACAGGATCAGTCATATCATGACTGGTGTTCATGCTACAGGATCAGTCATATCAAGGCTGCTGGTCATGGTACAGGATCAGTCATATCAAGGCTGGTGGTCATGGTACAGGATCAGTCATATCAAGGCTGGTGGTCATGGTACAGGATCAGTCATATCAAGGCTGGTGGTCATGGTACAGGATCAGTCATATCAAGGCTGGTGGTCATGGTACAGGATCAGTCATATCATGGCTGGTGGTCATGCTACAGGATCAGTCATATCAAGGCTGGTGGTCATGATACAGGATCAGTCATATCATGGCTGGTGGATACAGGATCAGTCATATCATGGCTGGTGGTCATGGTACAGGATCAGTCATATCAAGGCTGGTGGTCATGGTACAGGATCAGTCATATCAAGACTGGTGGTCATGGTACAGGATCAGTCATATCATGACTGGTGTTCATGCTACAGGATCAGTCCTATCAAGGCTGCTGGTCATGGTACAGGATCAGTCATATCAAGGCTGGTGGTCATGGTACAGGATCAGTCATATCAAGGCTGGTGGTCATGGTACAGGATCAGTCATATCAAGGCTGGTGGTCATGGTACAGGATCAGTCATATCGAGGCTGGTGGTCATGGTACAGGATCAGTCATATCATGGCTGGTGGTCATGCTACAGGATCAGTCATATCAAGGCTGGTGGTCATGATACAGGATCAGTCATATCATGGCTGGTGGTCATGGTACAGGATCAGTCATATCAAGGCTGGTGGTCATGGTACAGGATCAGTCATATCATGGCTGGTGGTCATGGTACAGGATCAGTCATATCAAGGCTGGTGGTCATGGTACAGGATCAGTCATATCAAGGCTGGTGGTCATGGTACAGGATCAGTCATATCAAGGCTGGTGGTCATGGTACAGGATCAGTCATATCAAGGCTGGTGGTCATGGTACAGGATCAGTCATATCGAGGCTGGTGGTCATGGTACAGGATCAGTCATATCATGGCTGGTGGTCATGGTACAGGATCAGTCATATGGTGGTCATGGTACAGGATCAGTATCAAGGCTGGTGGTCATGGTACAGGATCAGTCATATCATGGCTGGTGGTCATGGTACAGGATCAGTCATATCATGGCTGGTGGTCATGGTACAGGATCAGTCATATCAAGGCTGGTGGTCATGGTACAGGATCAGTCATATCAAGGCTGGTGGTCATGGTACAGGATCAGTCATATCATGGCTGGTGGTCATGGTACAGGATCAGTCATATCAAGGCTGGTGGTCATGGTACAGGATCAGTCATATCATGGCTGGTGGTCATGGTACAGGATCAGTCATATCATGACTGGTGTTCATGCTACAGGATCAGTCATATCAAGGCTGGTGGTCATGGTACAGGATCAGTCATATCATGGCTGGTGGGCTGGTGGTCATGGTAACAGGATCAGTCATATCAAGGCTGGTGGTCATGGTACAGGATCAGTCATATCATGGCTGGTGGTCATGGTACAGGATCAGTCATATCAAGTCTGGTGGTCATGTTACAGGATCAGTCATATCAAGGCTGGTGGTCATGGTACAGGATCAGTCATATCATGACTGGTGTTCATGCTACAGGATCAGTCATATCAAGGCTGGTGGTCATGGTACAGGATCAGTCATATCATGGATGGTGGTCATGGTACAGGATCAGTCATATCAAGGCTGGTGGTCATGGTACAGGATCAGCCATATCAAGGATGGTGGTCATGGTACAGGATCAGTCATATCAAGGCTGGTGGTCATGGTACAGGATCAGTCATATCAAGGCTGGTGGTCATGGTACAGGATCAGTCATATCAAGGCTGGTGGTCATGGTACAGGATCAGCCATATCATGGCTGGTGGTCATGGTACAGGATCAGTCATATCAAGGCTGGTGGTCATGGTACAGGATCAGTCATATCAAGGCTGGTGGTCATGGTACAGGATCAGCCATATCAAGGATGGTGGTCATGGTACAGGATCAGCCATATCAAGGATGGTGGTCATGGTACAGGATCAGTCATATCATGGCTGGTGGTCATGGTACAGGATCAGTCATATCATGGCTGGTGGTCATGGTACAGGATCAGTCATATCATGGCTGGTGGTCATGGTACAGGATCAGCCATATCAAGGATGGTGGTCATGGTACAGGATCAGCCATATCAAGGATGGTGGTCATGGTACAGGATCAGTCATATCATGGCTGGTGGTCATGGTACAGGATCAGTCATATCAAGGCTTGTGGTCATGGTACAGGATCAGTCATATCAAGGCTGGTGGTCATGGTACAGGATCAGCCATATCAAGGCTGGTGGTCATGGTACAGGATCAGTCATATCATGGCTGGTGGTCATGGTACAGGATCAGTCATATCAAGGATGGTGGTCATGGTACAGGATCAGTCATATCAAGGATGGTGGTCATGGTACAGGATCAGTCATATCAAGGCTGGTGGTCATGGTACAGGATCAGTCATATCAAGGCTGGTGGTCATGGTACAGGTCAGGCTGGTGGTCATGGTACAGGATCAGTCATATCATGGCTGGTGGTCATGGTACAGGATCAGTCATATCATGGATGGTGGTCATGGTACAGGATCAGTCATATCAAGGATGGTGGTCATGGTACAGGATCAGTCATATCAAGGCTGGTGGTCATGGTACAGGATCAGCCATATCAAGGCTGGTGGTCATGGTACAGGATCAGTCATATCATGGCTGGTGGTCATGGTACAGGATCAGTCATATCAAGGATGGTGGTCATGGTACAGGATCAGTCATATCAAGGATGGTGGTCATGGTACAGGATCAGTCATATCAAGGCTGGTGGTCATGGTACAGGATCAGCCATATCAAGGATGGTGGTCATGGTACAGGATCAGTCATATCATGGCTGGTGGTCATGGTACAGGATCAGCCATATCAAGGATGGTGGTCATGGTACAGGATCAGTCATATCAAGGCTGGTGGTCATGTAACTTTACAAAAAGATGTTTTCTTAACAGATTTCCATCTGATAGTAGTTGATCTTTCTATCTGTTTTGTATACATGAACCCTTGGAAGTAAATCTTCCTCTTTTTCTTTATTACTTGATATAACTTCCATGATAGAGTTTTGATATCAATGGTGTGTTTCACTGCTCCAGGACAACTGAACCGATTTCTAATCCAGAATTTAGCAGGATGCTTTCTAGTTTTGTGCTCTGTTCAATAATTGAACCAAAATTCTCGCAATTGAGCCACTGACAAGAGAGTTACTGGTTCGATATTTATAAATTTCATTTTTCCTGTATGTCTTCGCTTTGTGCCATTTTAGCCACCCGTGACATTTTTACCTGTGGCATTATTACCTAAATTCATATACTGTAGCGTGACAGGTTTGGCTAAATTCGTATATTTCTAGTCTCTAAATTTACAGAGCTATAAGAATGTAAGCTTGTAAATATTTACATTAAAAATGCATGAATCCATTCCTCCCTATTATAAGATATATTGACAAAATATTTCTTCAGTTCTGTGCAACGTTGATTTTTTTCGTAAATCTGCTGACATAAGGTCAAAATAAAAGTCAATAACTAGCCTTTCATTGCCAAAATCGTTGGTCTTGGCACTAAACTAACCTCGTTAAATATTTCCATGGAGAACGCGAAAACAACAGTAATAAAAAAACATTTCTCCCATCAAGGTATATATATATATATATATATATATATATATATATATATATATATATATATATATATCACTCCAAGCCAGGCAGAAATCGCATTAGGACGCAAGGGTTTACAGAGAGCGAAAGCAATAGAACAGAAGGGTGAAGCGGATATAGAGAAGGACGGAGATCTGGATCAAAGCATCAAAAGATTATATTTGAATATTTGAAGATTATAGCTGTCATGGAAGCAAGTAACAGGAAAGGAGTTCCACTGACGGGAAGTGCGAAATAAAAAGATGTTGGAGAAGAGGCGGTTACATTTAACTGTTTCGATAGTGTAAGAGTGGGACGAGATGGCAAACTAGTAGCACGCTTAAATTCTCGCAGTTTGGGAACCAGTGAAAGTAGCTCGTCAGAGTAATTGCTCTGAAAATACTTGTAGAAAAGACAGAGGGAAACCACAGCACGTCTGGGAGAGAGTAACTGTAGACGAGATGCCAGCTCAAGACCTATCATATTGCATAACGTCTCTGGATTTTATCGAGGACTTCGAGATGAATGGCGGGGGTAGCAGACCATATATGTCAGAAGTATTTAATGCAAGGATGAATAAATATTTTTCACTAGTAAGCAATGATGAGTTTTTCCTTAAATTAGCTGAATTAAATCCAGACTAACAGTCACTCTGGTGGCTTTCCTAGTCGTGTTTTGGATTCGCCGAGTTTTTATTCTCTAGACCGGACCTCCTATGTTTCATTTTTAACCAGTGAATTACCGAAAACATGTGCCTCATAAGCAGAGAGAAAACGATAGCTTGGAACGTATTGTTAGGCATGGGATTTTTGGCATTTATTCATTCCTCGGTCCTGGCATAGTCTCGAGGAAAGTCTTACAGTGATCCGTTCATTTTAATTGGTAAATTTTAAAGCAGTGTTTTGTGCCAAATTTTTATCGGTATTTGAGAAATTAAATTTAGTACGGAACAACGTCAATTAAGAGAGTTTGAAATAGACAGGAATTTCGCTACGCTATCAATTGAGAATAACCTGATTCCCGGAAAATCAGCATTTGAAAAATTGCTTTTGGCATGGAATGCATCACAAGCCACAATATAATTAGCAGAATCTATTGTGTGATTTAGCGGGAAAATGCAGTGCCCAACTTTTTATGAATAATTACTATATGAAAATAGTTGAGCAAGATTTTGACAATTTTTTTTTATTTCATTTAATTATTTAATATTATTATTCATCCGTCAAGTTTTAGTTAAACTATGTATAATTGTTTTATCTCTAAGAGAGGAAAATAAATAAGGAAGACACTTAGCAACTGTCCCAATGCTAATTCGGTATTTTCCCGAGCTCCCCATAGAATGGCATGTGGCACAAGGCTGGTTTACGTGGGTTCTTTCCGAGTTTGTGAACACGGGCAAAAATTCCCCGTAGACCCCTTAATAACTGGTTCGGATTTGTCTACATCTCCAGACCAGACTCTGCCCTTCGGCATAGCCTCGTTTGGGTTCCTCACTGCCTAAAGGCAGAGAGGTCTACAAGCACTAAGTGCTTAACGCGCGGTTATGACCCTATGTTGACTCGGTATTTACCTAGCCTCTCTAGAAGGTAGGATGCGGGACAAGGCTAGTTTTTACGTGGGGCATTTGCAGGCCCGTAGGCTCGAGTAAAAATTGCCCGTTATCACGAGCTCGTCTACCTCTCCAGACGAGACTCTGCCCGTCGGTAGAGCATCGTCTCGATTTCTTTCTGACCGAAGGCAGAGAGTTCGACAGGCACGAAGAGCTTAGCCCGCGCCTAAGACCGACTGCTAACTCTACTCAACTCAGCTCCGCTTATTTACATAAACCGTCGATTCCATTCCTTTATGTTCTATATGACTATAATAACAAAAAGAAGCCGGTTATATATCAATATATAGATCGAAGATGTTCAAATTGTCTGAACCGATGACCAGACAGTGAGTGTCGTATGGGTTGCATAAAAAAAAGCTGAACGTGTCAGGTCTAGAGTCTACGCCACATGTTGAAGAATTTCCTAATTTTGTGCCATGAACATTCACGACATCTTATTCGTACCGGGAATACTGGTGCTGCCATGCAACAAAATCACAGATTTAGAAGAGTATAGTTTTCGAAATAAACCTCAGTAGGAGGCACGGTATAGGACTAATGGATGGTAACTTGGATTGAGGAATCGGAGAACCGAGTTCGAATTCCAGTCGAATCCATTAAATTTACTTACGTACTAATACCCCTGAGAAAGGTATAAAACCTCTTCTTCTACCCCCAGCTATGAGTAAATAGCAGGACAGACCGGGTTACTTAGATGGCAACTGATCTACCGCAGAAATAAATGGCAATCTACTGCGGTAATGATGCATGATCACCTAAGCATGGCATTCTTTTTAAAAAAGACATTTATTGTTACTTTGGCTATTTAAATCTTTAGATTACCGTTTATGCTTTTTGCTAAAATTATTGTTAGAAATTGTTATAGAGAAGTATTAATATTTTATTTATATTTTTGGAAATAAGATTTAAATTTATTAAATTTATTAAGTAACAAGTTCACCTTCTGTGTCTCCTAGATACTGTATGTATTTCTTCAATAATATACATTTTAGCTTTATTTTTTGTTTTAGCAAGAACAGCTCTCCAAATCAAGATGGATACGATAAGAAGACTGAGCAGGTTGTTTTACTATTATATAAACAAAAAACATGAATTTTGTTTACTGTCACTCCCGCGAGGTAGAAACTAGTTCCACGTGTTGCTGTAATTGTTTAGATAACTTTAAATCTTTTTTTTCTTTTCCAAACTATTTAACTCCAACTCAGAATACAGAATAATTTAGATTTGACATCTCTCAGTTCGAAAGTATTATTTCAGTTTTTCTTCGTTACATC